GTGTGTGTGTGTGTGTGTGTGTGTGTGTGTGTGTGTGTGTATACATAAGCATGTGCAGGAGCTACAAGTACATGGAGATTAGAGGAAAACTGTGGAGTCCATTCTCTCCTTCTACCTTTACGTGGGTTTGGCTGATCCTCAGATTGTCAGACTCTCATTCAAATTCTTATCTTTCAAAATTTAAAGAGCATACATTTGCTCTGAACAGTTTAAAAGAATTAGTCCTTGGGTGTACAAATATAAATAAAGTTTAAAACCTATTAATAAATTTTAAACAATCCTACAGCACTCCAAAGAATGAGTAAATATTTTAATTACCTTTCCTGTGCTCTGTAAGATGGTTGTTCTTGTTCTCCACACTCTTTCTCTGCTGACAATATCTCTGGTCACATCTACCTCAGCATCCACAAAACTCCTCTGTTTAAGGGCAGTTATATCATCATCTAGATCAGTCTTGATAGTAGATCTTTTCTTAGCCATAATTTTGGCTTTGATTGCAGCAATTTTTTCCACTGACATGGCTTCAGACAAAGACCTAAAAGTAATTTATTTTTTAAATTTCACAGCTAAGATTCCTTCAGTACAACATATATACTGTTGCACTAAAATTGATAATAAAAAAAAAACCACCCACTTCAAGTGACAATAAGCTTTCTATAAAATTGTATACTTAATATTTTATAGTCACACAGGATTTTTACAATAATTCATAAAGATAATAATCGAAAAGCAAGTCAGTAATTTATTTTAATTTTAGTTTTATGAGTATAAGTGTTCGGCCTACATGTAGGTCTATGTGTCATTTCTATGCCTGGTGCCCAAGAAAGCCAAAATAGGGCATCAAATTCCCTGAAACTGAAGCTACAGCCAGTTTTACACCATTATGTGGGCGCTGAGAACCAAATCAGGGTCCTCTGGAGGAATGGCCAGTGCTCTTAACCACTGAACAATCCAGCCTTGAATTAGTAATTTCTTTAAATTAACATTAAAAAAATTAAATAATATTAAAATTCCTTGCTCTTTTTAAATCTCCCACAAAAAAGCAGAACTAACATGGGTGCTTTTGCTTGTATTCCCTGAGGCTTTACCAGTGTATCTATACTCTCTACATATGAAAATTATATACAAGCACAGAGGTCATCCTGTAATGGGGTCAAAAATTCATTTTGTTAAAAAGCTCAAAGCTTAGGTGTTTCCATGAAATGTATTTTAAGGTTTTAAAGCTACAGGCTTCATATACAACTGACTTCAGAATCCAAAGAGACTTTATATGCCACAATAGTCCTTTTAATTTCTGGAGGACAAAACCATACCTAATTTAATTAAAACTTCATTATAAAGAACTTACAAAAAATACTGAAATAAACATATTTTGAACTCTTATGTCTTCAATTTACTTGATTCTCAAATAAGCAAAAAGCAGCCTTTTTATTTAAAAAAATTATTCATCAACAATGACAGAAATAAAAATTGTAGTATGCAATGAAAAAAAGAAAAGTGAATTTCTCAGTGCTTTCAATTTCCTGGCGTATTTCTCTTTGAGATTCAGGGACAATAAATCAGTATTCCAGGGACTAGCGAGATGGCTCAGAGGTTAAAAGCACTGGTTGCTCTTGTAAAGGACCAGGGTTCAGTTCCCAGGACCCAAATGGTGGCTCACAACCATCCATAACTCCAGTTCCAAGGAATCATGATGCCTTCTTCTGACCCAGGTACATGGTACACAGACATACGTGTAGGCAAAATATTCTCACACATAAAAAATAAAATAAAGCAATCTAAAATTTGATTGAAAAAAAATCAGGAATTCTCAGTTTTCAAAACTATGTTGTTTTAAATATATTCCTAACAGTCTTCATAACAACTCTCTAATATGAACAACAAAAATTGTCTAAGAATAAAATACATTAAGTTCAGTAGTACTTACAAAGTACAAAAAAAAAAAGAAGAAGAAGAAGAAGACTCAATGAAAAACGTAATTTAAAATTCTGGTCTCCCAGTCAGGGAACATCCCTTTATGGGACCACATGTGGAAACCAGCCACTATAGTTTGCACTGAAAATGTGTTGTATGTTTTTTATAATATAAAATTCGAAAAGTAATTCAACAGTGGTTGATGACTGGTAATACAATTCAGTGGTACAGTCTTAACCTAGCATGCATGAAGTCCTATATTTAACAGAGACTATAAAAAACGGAGCTGGGCCAGCAACCCAGTGGGTCAAGGGAACTCCCTCAGCACAGGCAAGCATCAAGGCTTTGCAGCAACAGCTAAAGATATAAGAGAAGAATCACTAACAGAGAGTGACAAGAGGAGAAACTAGGAAAGAACATATGCTAGTCTGCCATCTGAAACTGTCAGCATGGTGTCCAAACAAGGACGGTACAAAACATTTTTAAAAAATGACATCCCAAATTAATAATTATGTCCTGGCTCATCAGTTTGGAGGGAATGTGGCTCCAGTATCATTGTAATGGGCACAAACATTTCCAAAGAAATTCCAAACAAGGTCCCTCCTGCATCCTGCTTTCCTGCACAAATCTTAACTAGTATACAGTGAAAACTATGGGTGCAGATTAAATACTGTGATTTTTTTTTAAGTGCTAATGTGTTTGTTTGAGGAACTCTGCAGTCCACCTACAAAAGACAGGTTAGTACAGTTCACAGAAGTCCTGTGCTTTCATTTGATTTATAACGTAACAGGGTACTATAAATGAATTACCAAAAAACTACCTTTTTCTCCTACTTTGCATTGACTTTTAGCTGTGAAATTAAAGCATCTCAGCATATTTTTAGATCAATTCAAATTGTTTTTAATTACATTTGTTCTGGTGTGCACACAAACATGCACCACAATGTGTGAAAACCAGAGGACAAATTGCAGGAGTAGGTTCTCTCTTTCCACCATGTGAGTATGGATATGGGTATGAAAGTCAGGTCACTGCTTGAGCTTAGCAGCATGGTCTTTACCAATGAGCAATCTGGATGGCTCTCAAGCTGACACTGGACTTTCAATGATCAGACTTCTACTTCTAGCTGAGATGAAGTGCCAGTGACTGGAATAGCTCAACAATCAGAAAATGACTAGCTGAACTTCACAACATAATGGTTTACCAGATATTAGCAATTAAACACTAAATGGCAGTGATTCTCTGACAAATGACAAATGAATGAACTCCTATAACTTCCTTGGCTTACTGCCTTGAAAACTTCCAAAGGAGGTCCTAAGAAAAACCCAGGCAGGACTTAGTCAAGCCCAACGTGTTTACATGGTACAGAATAGTTAAGAAAAGTGCTGAACAGGGGTACTGCAGTAGAATGCTAACACGTGGGTTTAACAAAGGAACTACCTAAACCTGGAAACAACCACTACCCATTAAGTTTAAGTCGGTAATACAAGGCTGTGTTCCCATCACCCAAAAATATACATGAGACATTAGGAAGTCTCCTTAAAACAATATTGCCTCTAACGTAAGTGAGAATAATTACTGCAATTAATCTCTGTTCAATGTAAAGTCCCCAGGGGGGGAAAAAAAAAGAAAGTCATGCCTATGGTGAAAATTCTACAAGACTGGCTGGCTGAGTAATTAGAAATTCCTGGAGAGTTAGAATGTCACAAGTCCAGTCAAATTGTGGGTCAGGAAAGAGATGCCCCCAAGAGAAAGAAACCAGGAAACAGCTGTGTGGGCTGGTCAGTGCTCGTGTGTATAAGTCACACTGCTCCTTCCTCACCAGATGTTTACAGACACTTAAGTTCAAAAGCAACTGGGTTATGTAACCATCAACTATAATCTCTGACACCAGGAGAGAAAATAGATCTTCCTCTTTTATGTTTCTCAGTTAGTTATCACTAACAGTCTAACAGAGAACATTGGTAGACAGGGTGATCAACTGACTATTCCATTCTGAAGCTTTGGGAACTGGTTTCTGGGAAGAATTTGTTAAGTTTGGAGAGATGGACTAGATAAGTCCTAGAATAATGCTATATAAGCAGTAGGCAGAGCTTAATTTTTTTTGGGGGGAGGGGTGGATGAGAGCTTAATTCTTGTGGGAACTCAGAAAACCAGAATGCTCTAAGACTGAGGCTGGCTAATGATGAGGATTCATATGACTCTATAAGGCCTTTCACAGAAACCATTTGTACTACAGTGTTGCAAAGAATCTGTCATATTTTGTCCTTACTTTGAGTGGGGCTAAATTTACATGTAATAAATAGTAAGGCAGAGGAAATGTCAAGACAGCTCAGCATGGATACTGCTAGCTGGTTTTAGCCAGACTTACTGCAATAAATATAAGCAAAAAGCCAGGGAAGGTCTGGAAAGTGCAGTGAGCCAGAAAATAAACTCATATAAGGTTAAGATACAGCAAAGTATAGTTGGTGAAGAGATTTGGGCCATTTTTTTAATTCCAGTATTTTGCATCAGAACAGGAAAGATGCTTTTAGGGTACCTCAACAATTAGCCAGACCCCACACACTGCAAGCTAAGGGTATAAGGAGTTTACTTAACTAGGTTGAAAAACTACTTTGAGATTACCATGTTCCTCTAACTTGGGGCCTCATATGAAAATCTTTCCCCAGCTTCAGTTATTTGGAAATTCAAAGAACACAACAGCCATGATTCTAAGGACCACACAGCCACTAGCAGCAGATCATATCATACCAGTTTTGCAGGCATTCAGAATGCAAAAGTTACAAGATCATGAAGTTTCCACTCAGATTTTAAAGGAAGACCTAAGACGCCAGACAAATGGTCGGCAGGGCCTGAGACAATGCATGAAGCTATGTGAATAAACCTAGACACACAATACAGGCATGGAATATCTGCCACAATAACTTAGAGGCAAAGAGTAGAGCTGGCCTGAGCGAGAAGTCATGTGGACTGTAATAAGCCAAGCCATAGGGATGGGGCTTTCCAAGCCCACTGGAGCACACATAGCATTTTATCACCTCATATGCCACTTATGGTGGAAATGAATTTACAGGACTTGACATTTGTCCTCTAGATTGCAGGCTTGGTTTGGTCCCACTCCTCTCCATGCTTCATCTCTCCATTTTGTAATAATAACATTCATTCTACACTGTTACATGCTGAAAGTATGAAACTTGTTACTAAAAATTTTTTAAATGATGATTTATTTTATGTATATGAGTGCTCTATCTGCATGTATGGCATTATTCAAGAAGAGAGCATCAAAATCTACTACAGATGGTTGTGAGCCACCATGTGGTTGCTGGGAATTGAACTCAAGACCTCTGGAAGAGCAGTCAGTGAATGCTCTTATTTGCTAAGCCATCTCTCCAGCCCCAAAGGACTGGGTTTTTGTTGATGTTGTTCCCGTTTTTGTTTTTTTAACACAGGGTTTCTCTGTATAGTCATGGCTGTCCCAGAAATTCACTCTGTAGACTAGGATGGCCTTGAACTCACAGAGAAGAGCCTGTTTCTGAGTCCGGAGTGCCAGGATTAAAGGCCTGCACCACCATCTCCTGGCATTATTAAAATTTATAGAGACTCATAGCTAAGAGATTTCCACTTCAGGACTTTAAGCTGCACCCTCTGAAAAAATCTGGAACTGTTGAGATTTCAAGGACTATCAAAGATGGACTAAATACATTTTGCATTATGAGACAGACATGAGTCTTTGGGAGCCACAGATATATTAATGTTTGAACAGGCGATGTGTTAAAGGCATGGTCCCCAAGTGATGGTGCTATTCTGGGAGTTTCTGACAATTTTAAGAGATTAGACTTAACAAAGAAGTAGTTCACTGTCACTGGGGTTAAATCCTTGACTGTCCTTTCCCTGGTCCTTCTAGTTTCCATACACACACCCCACCCTCTTCCTCCCACCCCCCACATTTCTCCTATGTACCATGAGTTGAGTAACAATGCTTTCTACGACAAATTCCTTTCTATACAATGATGCTCCTCTGTCTTCCCACACATGGGTCCAGGATTAGAACCACAGAACTCTGAACTGAAAGTGAACAAAAATAAATATTCTCTTCTATGTCTGTTCTCATATTTGACATACTGGTGAAAAATTCTAACACAGTAAGTAATCCAGAGTAGGTTCTTACAGTATAGGTTACAAACAAATCTATGCTATTTTATTCACGGGACTTGAGCACCTCTGGGTATTAGTAACTATGGAGAGATCCTAGACCAACCCCAATAGATTCCAAGGGACAACTGCATTCTTCCAAACTTAGAGAACAGGGGAATACAATTAATAAAAAAATGCAAATGTAAATTGTAACATCTAACTACCCCATTTTCCACATACCTTTACATAAAATCTGTACTACCTACTGAAGAAACCCTTACCTAATCTGTTCAGTCTGTACAATCCCTTCTTTATGGCCTTCCAAACGAGCTGCCAATCTCTCTTTATCAAGACGCACACACTCTTCATCCTAAAAATAATCACTGGTTAGTAACATTTTAAGTTTTATTTAACTTTTACATGAACAAATCACTACACATATCTTCTTGCCAAGATTACCAGAGTACAGTTCCATGAAATATTGTACTTAAATCAACTTTAAGACCTTTTACTTTCACAAAGACAACAGTGTATTTGGATCATGTGAGTCTGGAACTGATTTCGGAGGTTCCTTGACTTACAACAAGGCTTAAGAAACCACATGTGATGGTTAGTTTTATGTCAACTTGACACAGGCTTGAGTCATCTAAGAGGACGGAACCCCAAATAAGAAAATGCCTCCATAAGATTGGGCTGCACACAAGCCTGAAGAGCACTGTCTTAATTAGCAATTGATGTGGGAAGGCCCAGACCACTGAGTGGGGCCAATCCTGGGCTGGTGGTAATGGGTTCTATAAGAAAGCAGGCTGGGCAAGCCAGTAAGCAACACCCTCCAGGGGCTGTGCATCAGCTCTTGCCTCCAGGTTACTACCCTGTTTGAGTTCCTGTCCTATTGCCCTCAGTGATGGACTATGGATGTAGAAGCAAAAGCCAAAAAAACCTGTTCCTCCCCAACTGCTTTTGGTTACAATGTTTTATCACAGCAATAGTATACCAAATTAAGATACCACAGTAAATTTAAAACATAATAAGCTAGAAATGTGTTTTACACATCTACCTAATAAATATCATAGCTTAGTGTTGTTTACTTGAACATATCCACTAGCCTCCATATAAAATGGACATCTCACATTTTATTAAAATTGTTCTGAAAGTAAGGTAAATTTGTCTAAACATGTATGTGTTGCTTTTGCGTCATCAAAAAGCTTAAAAAAAAAATCACCGGAAACCATCTGTAAGTTTACATTATGGTGCCCAGACATCTAATTCTAGGTGTTCTCCCAACCATTACTACTTTCATTCACAATAATAATAATAATAATAATAATAATTAATAATAATAAAAAATTCATTCATTTAAAAATGTTTTTAAATTGGTTTCTGTGTACTGAGTGTTCTGTCTACATGTGCACTATGTGTACGACATGCATGCATGGTGCCTGCAGAAGAGATGGAGTTATGGATGGTTGTGAATCCACTAGTGGATGCTGGGAACTGTTAGGTCTTCTGCACTTGTTCTTAACTGCTGAGCCATCTCTCCAGCCCCTATAGAGCCATTCTTCTTTAAAAAAAACAAAACAAAACAAAACATTTATTTACTACGTATACAGTGTTCTGCCTCCATGTATCCCTGCAGGCCAGAAGAGGGCATCAGATCTCATTACAGATGGTTGTGAGCCACCATGTGATTGCTGGGAATTGAACTCAGGACCTCTGGAAGAGCAGCCAGTGCTCTTAACCTCTGAGCCATCTCTCCAGCCCTAGATACATTCTTAATGAAAAAAAAAAAAAAATCTAGCTTTTAAAGGAAGTCTTCATCAAAGTTAAATTTTTCATTTTGGATACCAATTTTTTTTTCATCTGGTGCCACCAGTCCCAAAATCTACCAAATACAAGTCCAAACACTAGAAGAAAAACTTGAATTGCTTTCAAAAGACAAGTTCCTCGACACATTAAAATCTTCCTACAAAGTTCCCAATAGACTATTTCAAAATCTTATCTAGCAAGGGTGAGTGGTTCATGCCTATAATCCCAACAGTCAGGAGGCTGAGGCAGAAGCATCAAGAGTTTAAAGACAATATTGGCTACAACTGTGAGCATGAGGTCAACCTGGGCAATATGATTTCTAACTTATATTAGGAAGCCATGTGAAATTTGGTTTGAAAGATAGGTGGCTGGTTAAGAAAAAAACCAATGAAGTGACACCTATCTAGGTCAAAGTTTATATTCAACAAATAAAAAACAAGAAACAAGTCAATGAGTAAGACTGTATGAAACACATAACACAACGCATTAGCATACTTGAGACAACAAAGGAGAAATAATATTAGGCTCCAATCCACGCTCTACTAGTTTTCTACCATGTAAACGTGTGAAAACAGACACATCAGCAAAGATATTTTAACAAATGCATTTAATTTTTATCATTTGTAAGGAAGTTATAATCCATGATGGTCAGGGTCCTCAATAAACTAGTAATTTCAGAAATACAAACTAGTTTTAATCAAATCAGAAATCCTGACCAAGTTTTCTTTTGCCTCCCATGGTGTCTTCAAAAAATTCAATTTGTTGAACTACCTACTAATACAAATGTTTACATTGTAGCTTATATATGACAGAGAAAATATAATGCTGCTTCCTGTGGATGTTTCAAGTTACTGGAAGCTTCAGCATTTAGCTTTCTTGGGTGTTGAATTTTTTTTCAAATAATTACATTGTGATGCTTTCATATTTCCAAGTAAATGATGACCCTAAATGCACTCACTGTTTTCCTAGTGGCAGAGCTTTCTTTCATCCAGGAGGAAATGGAGAAACTTTCAGTTTTCCTGCCACAAAATTCACACCCATTATAGTAGTGTGGCTTAGCAGCCAGACTGCCTTGGTTCTAATTTGGTTCTACATATCTCAGTAAGTCACTTTAGGGTGTAACTTATCTACTCACTGATATTGAATCTAGGGCCACCAAATTCAAAGAATGGTTGTAAAGAGTACATGACTTAACATACCTAATGCATTTAAAGTATCATCTTGTATACAACGGTAACAAAGGATTAGTTATCAGTACTTAAAAAGTATGAGGTTCCTGTCTCAGAATAACTAAAAGTATACTGTTTTAAGATCAGATTGTTAATGACTCCACTGTATACACTTGCTGACCAACATTATCCTAGTCACATTCTTCATCCTTACTAGTAGATGTTTGGCCATTTACATATCAGAAATAATTTAAAGAATATATGTATATTCTAAAATAAAAAGATACATGGTTTCTAGTATTGTTGACACTTGTGAAGAAGTGCTAATTCTTTACTATAAACTGATACATGATCTATTTAAATATTTGCTGGATTTTAAGTTTCTAGTAAATTGTTCTCTGTGTCCAGAGGTTTTCTATGCATACAATTAATATGGAGCTTGCTACAAATTTATATAAGTCATTAATGTGTATTTCTGTATGTAATTAAAATTCCTGAGGATATCTTACTCAGAATACTAACTGGTCTACTAACGGTAATGGCAATTTTTTAACTGTCAAAAGTACACATCATGAGTAATATTATCTTCTGAAATATACATAAACTATGGCATGGCTCCATCTACTTAGTTAACTTTGGTATTACTTTACATCGCTTTTTTTTTGGTATTACTTTACATACATTTTTTGGTGCTGAGAACACATCTTCCTTAGCTATTTTCAAAGCACAATATAGTTAATTAGTTACAACCATTATACAATAGATACTCTAAAAGAAATTCTATTTGTTCTCTATTTCCAATAAATGTTACAGTGAGAATCTAAAAATAACTTCAAAAGACTTGGGTATGAAGGAGATGGCTGCTGTCTAATGGGCTTTGGAGAGACAGTTGGATTCTAAAGGTCCTACTATACAGCTCTAATGCACTGTGAACTCACAGCTCCAGGGACCCTTAGGAATGGGGCCTGACTGAAAGGAGCACAGAGTGTGCTCTGAAATGTTAATGTTGTTCCACACCTTCCTTCTCTGCTTCTCTTTGCAGTAAGGTGGGCAATTCCCGTCCACCATGCTTTTATGCCCTATTCCTTCTAGCATAGGTCCAAAAACAGTACGGCCAGGCAACCATAGGCTGAAATCAGGAACCAAAGCAAACCTTTCTTTACGCTGTTCCCCTTGGGAATTTGTCACAGTGATAAAAATTACTAACACACTATCCTAATCCATTTGTGCTCACTAAAACACTAGAAATCTAGAATCTGTGCCAATATTTTTACTGAATTAACAGTAAGTACTTCACATTTTACAACTCTGAAAAGTAAAGCATATCCCCAAACTACTTTATTCTATAAGTCAGAGAACCAATTCTGGCTCCCACCATCTTACAGTTTTATTAGAACAGCCACATCTATCAATTTATGTGTGATTTACACGTTTCCCCACTACAGCAACAGAGAATAGAAAGATGGAGGAATAGCAAGATGGCGGTGCAGCAATCAAGACTGCAGGGCCCTGAAATCCTGAAATAATAGTTTCTTACCCTAGGTCTACGACATTGTTTTCATCAAGTAAGGCAAAGAACAACAAAGAAAAAAAAATGGCATATCCACCACAGAGCTTAATGCAGTAACGCATTAAGTCACCTATTGATCTATTTCTCGGGGGGGGGGGAGCTGCTAGAATTACTATGAAGATTTTGGTTTTGGTTTTTGTTTTTCAAGACAGGGTTTCTCTGTGTAACCCTGGCTTGTCCTGGAACTCTCTCTGTAGACCAGGCTAGCCTTCTACTCACAGAGATCCAGACCAGGCTAGCCTTCTACTCACAGAGATCCACCTGCCTCTGTGTCCCAAGTGCTAGGATTAAAGGCGTGTGCTGCCACTGCCCAGTCTATGAAGAACTCCTTTTTCTACACAATTCCAAGTTCAGTACAAAATAAATTGTTTTAAAAAGAGTTCTGTTACCTCAATTCGTGGTTTCTTTGCTTCTGCTAAAACTTCATCTGCAGCTCTTTTGACTATAAGAAAAAAAGCAGCAAGTAAGTGTGCACTTTAGGAAAGGGGAGTTTAAAGGTCAAAGATAAAGACATGGTGTACCTTGAGTAGACCGCTGAAGACCTATTTCCAGGGGGGCGCTCCTATCTATGCTGGCTGATGTTGCTGAAAATGGAAACGAAAAATCATATAAGCAGACCAACATCTGAGCATTTATTTTGGATGTTATTCCAGGGGAAATATTCAAGCTTTATTTTATTTCTTATATCCATAGGAGGATTTCCCTAGGTAAAATGATTTAAAAAGCAGCCCTACAAAAGTATTTTAGTAACAAGATGACTCTGCATTTGAACATCTGTAAAAGAAAAAATGATTTTTAACAATTTAGCTTACAAACTAGTGAGATGCTAATTACTAAAGTTAATTGGTCAGTTCAGATTATACTCCTCTATAAAAAAACACACATTTAGTGAGTATGCTTTCCCCAAATACTTAAAAAATGCACACTATCATATTAACATGCAAATTTTAGTTATTCACAATGGGTAAGACACTTCCAACTATCCTTCAAATTATTTTGGTGACTCAAAATAAAACTATTAAAAAGAAGAAGAAGAAGAAGAAGAAGAGGAGGAGGAGGAGGAGGAGGAGGAGGAGGAGGAGTAGTAGTAGTAGTAGTACCTGGCCCCTTCCACCAAGTTCCTACTCCCCTATATAACTAGTTTTTGTCTTATATATCCACCTACAAATACAAGAAATACAAATACTGTATTTGTACCTTTGTACACAAAGGCAGCATAATACACAGAATATTCTAAAACTTGTTTCCCATTTTAAAAAAAGCACCTTTTACATACCAGTATGTAGGGTAGTTCCCTAACTTCTTTTTCATTTTACAGCTATGGGGTATCCTGTTGTATGGAATAATTATAATTCATTTGACTGGTTCCCTATGAGTAGGCAGCTCAATTCTAAGTAGTTTGTTATTACAAACAACAGCATGAAGAAACTTCACATGTATGCTACTTTTTACATTTAATATAATATAAATATAATACTCTAGGATAGTTCCAAATGTAGGAGTTCTATTTCATCTGAAATGAACTGTCAACAACTTCAGGAAGATTATAAAGTAACACAACCAATGATGCCGAATGCTCCCTTGCAGCCTCACCAGAGCTCACTGACAAACAGCAAAATTTAAAATCTTATCTTTGTATCCTTTAAATCTGCAATTTATTATAAAATAAATCATATCTACAAGTGATTTATCATCTTTTCTGTTAATTATATGTTGATTATAACTATTCAAGTTGTTGGTCTTTTATATGTCTTTTTTAATAACGTCACACTTCATATGCTAACTAGTATAACTGATTCTATAGTTGAAACATTTTCCCAGTATATCAGGCCTTTTGTTTTTTCTCTTGTTTGTTTGTTTGTTTTCAAGACAGGGTTTCTTTGTGTAACCCTGGCTGTCCTGTAACTAGCTCTGTAGACCAGGCTAGCCTAGAACTCACCAAAATCCACCAGCCTCTGCCTCCCAAGTGCTAAGATTAAAAGTGTTCACCACCACTACCTGGCTGTTTTTTTATGATACAGGACTTTTTTTTATTTTTATCAAATATTAACTGATAATCCTACCTTCTTCCATTGCTCTGACATGTCTTTATTTAAATGTTAAATTGATGTATTTCTGGAGTCAGATGCACTATCATCATACTATACGGCCAGTTTCTCATTTGTATTTCTTATCTAACATATGAAAGTTATTTTATTAATGTATTTACTCATTCTCAGTTTTTAAATCATTAGGTCTTTAAGTTCTACACTCCAGAATGATTAGTCTGTTCTCATTGCTTTTCCTCAAATTGTTACTTTTACCAAGTGAAATTTAAATTTATGTAGTTCTATTGTTCAAGAAAAGTTGTCTTTTGTTGAGATCATGCTTTTAAACGTGTAGTTCATGTTAACAGTTAATGTCTTTAAGCTATTAAATGCAATGCTATCTTAACTACTTTCAACTTTTTCATTGAACTAGTAACATGTTTTAAAAATATAAAAAAAAATACATTTGAGAACTAAATTTGTCCTATAGAAAACACAAGAAATTATGTGAATAAACAATTCATTGAGACTCTCCTAAAGTGAAGAGATTTACCAGGTGCATCTGAGACACTTAGTAAAACTGAAAAATCCTACACTCCCTTCATACATTTTTTTCATAGAAAATCCTAAGAAGAAAAAAAAAATTATATATATATATTTTAAAACAGGTATACCATAATTCTCATGCTCCAAATAATTAAATTTGCTTTGATTTAAAACAGATTAAAAATAAAAAGCCTGTTTTTGATCTTTCCATCTCAACTGCCTTTGCAGGAATGGAATTCCTCCTCATTCCTTGTTTACCTTGTATGAAAGTAACAAGACATTTACATTCTATGCAATGCCCAGCATAATTCAATTTAAAAATAAGCATGGAAGGCCAGTGAGCTGACTCATCAGGTACAGCCATGCCATACATACCAGCAATCTGAATTGGATTCTTTTTTTTTTAATGTATTTATTTATTATGTATACAGCATACATGACTGCTGGCCAGAAGAGGGCACCAGATCTCATTACAGATGGTTGTGAGCCACCATGTGGTTGCTGGGAATTGAACTCAGGACCTCTGGAAGAGCAAGCAGTCAGTGCTCTTAACCTCTGAGCCATCTCTCCAGCCCCTGAGTTGGATTCTTGAAAGCTACATAAAGGTAGAAGAAGAGAACTGACTCCAAGTTATTCTCTGGCCTCCACATACAAGCTGTGGCACATACACCCACACACACATACAATCTGGAAAAAACAACTGTAAAAAGTTACACATATGCAGAATGAAAATCACACAAGAAAACAGTCCTGGAGGTCTTCCTATTACGCACTCTCTACACACACCAACACTACAGCTTAAAAACATGTGGCAGAATGTTTAACGTAACTGCTATTAATGGCTTAATGATAACAATAAATTCCATCATAGGGAAGGTGAGATCTATTATGTTCCTATAATACTAAATGTAAGTATATGCTACAAAAAAATTATTCGTTCATTCAACTACTATATGCTGCTGTTCTAAACTCTTTAATGAGTAGTAAAATAAGACAACTGAAACAACTGTTCCTTTAAGGTTCACTCTCTAGTAGACAATATCCAAGTAAGCAATAAATATAATTTCAGATAATAAATATGGGATTTGTTTAGAAAATAAATAGGATGATTACATATAGACAGATATGAGGGTGGATGTTATTTCGTATTTTAGAATGGAGAGATGTCTTCACTGACAGAACAGTACTTGGAAGACTATTTGAGCATCATGGAAGATGACAGCCCAGTAACCACACGGACAACTGAGAAGACAGAAAGAAATGCAAACGCAGAGGCTCTGAGATTAACTAAACCAACTGAAAGATCAATACACAGGCTGCTTTGGTAAAGGAAGAATGATGGAAGATGAACTCAGAGATTTAGACAGAAACATGGTCATGGAGTCCACACGGTAAGAAGTATGAGATTTATCCTAAGTGTGCTAGAACCCACAAATAGCCTTGAGCAGACAAATGGCACAATTAAATTTACATGCTTTTTCAAAAACAAATCTTGTTAGATACAGAATAAGCTGTAGCAAATAAAGAGTAAGAACATATGAGAAGGTTTTAGCACAAAGAGAAGTGGGACAGGGTTGGAGTAGAGTGGAAAACTCACAGTTTTCAAGGGAGAGAAAAGGACTTACAAATGTTGTGAATATGTCAGAAAATCATTTCACTGGGGTTTAAGGTCTAAGTCATTGCATGAAGTTACATAAGGTACCATCCCTTCTTTCTAAGATGAGAAGAACAGACTCACTGTTTTGTTTCATGTGGGTGGAGATGGGAAGGAGTAAATTGGGCACTCTATTTTGAACATGCTCAATTTCAGAAGCCTGTTAAACATTTAAAGGAAGATGACAACAGTAAATTTATAAATATGAAGCACAGTCACTGGGAGATGTATGCAACTGACTCTTGAACATGGGGGTTGGGGCACTGATTCTCTCATCAAGTTGAAAGTTCACGTATAAATTTGACTTCTCAAAAACCTGCTCAAAAGAATTAATACATTGCTGTTTACCAGAAGCTACTTAACAATAACATAGGTAGTAACCCATATTTTTTATGAATGTATCATATAACACATACATAATATATAATGGAAAAAATATCTAAGAACTGCAAGAAGTCACTTTTTACAATAACATACAACATTCTGAAGGGACAATCTCATTACAAGAGTACATGACGTTTTAAGCAGACACCTGTGCTGCCTGAGCTCACTAGAACTGTCAGAGGAAATCATTATAAAGCTGTAACATACTACCCTTGATTTTATACAGTTATGACTTAATACTGCATTGTATGTTTACATTTCTCTCAACAGTGAATGGTATCAATATGGTATAGAAATACTATGTGACTAGGTTCTGATAAGTTTTAATTGTGTATAATAGACTTTTGAATTATAAATGAATAGATTATTTATTACATACCTTTTTGTCATTGTACTTTTTTTTTTTTTGGTTTT